GGATAGGCACAGTATTCTCTTTCTAGAATTTGCTTAGCAGTAAAAATGAACCAATCCTTAAGTTAATCAAAATAAGGCACTTGACACATTTTCTTCCATGCTTTTGTTTTATAGGGAGGCCTTTGTCTTTTCTATCTGTTAGAGCTCATAACACTTCCTCTGACATGTGCACTATCTGTTGCCTTCATTTCTCCTGGCTGGATGGGCTGAGAGAAGCGGGATGTGGGAGTGCCGTGTGTGTGGGGATTAGCTGCGTAGAGTGCTGAGTATCTGGTGTAATGATTCACAATGGCTTGTGTTTCTAGGCAGTGGACCAATCCAGCTGTGGCAGTTTCTTCTGGAATTACTCACTGATAAATCCTGTCAGTCTTTTATCAGCTGGACAGGAGATGGCTGGGAATTCAAACTTTCTGACCCAGATGAGGTAAGGAAGGAGGGGCTTGCGAGTACTGTGCTGAGGAAGGATGAGAGAGAACCCCCTGGAAGGGGTGGTGTGGACCTGAATGACATTTTCCAGGACTGCGATTCCCAGCTCTGCCACTTGCCACTCCCGGAGCAAGCTAGGTAGCCTGTCTGAGCCCCAGTTTCATTATTTGGAAAATAGAGAAAATATCTATGTTACCCATTTGTCTTACAGGATTAGCTGGTAGGAGGCACTAATGTGCCTGGCAGTAGGTCGGTTATCACCCACAGAGCTGCCTCCTGCGACTTAGCCTCTTCCTAGCCCCGTGGCTCTGTGAGTGTGAACGGGGCTAGACAGTTCAAGAGGCCTTGGGAGATTGGCTCATTAGTTTCTTATTTCATTACACACATGCTTATGGACTAGTGGTTCTGTGCCATGCCCAATTCTGAGGATAAAAAACAGTGAAGAAGAGAGACAACATCTTTGTTCTGGCAGACATGAGAAAATACTTGTGCCCTGGTATGGAAAGAAGCACTTCCTGTTGATGAGAGACAGCTCAGCTCCTCCACTTCACACTTGCCTGTTAGATTTCATGCTTGCAAAGCAAGGAGATTTTACTAATAATATGGGGAAAGAGGAGAGCGTACAGTGTGGCTTTTCATTTATGTTTTAAAGTCAAATATTTAATCCTATTCCACAGAAGTTCAGGGTCACTCTGTTTTCATCAACTTAAAGAATCACTGTGACTCCCATCCCCGCCCAACCCATGAAAAATGGAATTCAGAAGCGACAGGCCAGAAAACTATTTTCTATGTGTACATGAATCTCAAATCATCTTCCTGGAGCATCATGGGTCACCGTGAATGGGTATAGCATAGGCATACAAACATATATATTTGGTCTATCTTGTAGATTTTTGCCTACTCCTCCTTTATTTTTCTTTTTAAATTTCAGGTGGCCAGGAGATGGGGAAAGAGGAAAAACAAACCTAAGATGAATTATGAGAAACTGAGCCGTGGCCTACGCTACTATTACGACAAAAACATCATCCACAAGACAGCGGGGAAACGCTACGTGTACCGCTTTGTGTGTGACCTGCAGAGCCTGCTGGGGTACACCCCTGAGGAGCTGCACGCCATGCTGGACGTCAAGCCAGATGCCGATGAGTGATGGCACTGAAGGGGCTGGGGAAACCCTGCTGAGACCTTCCAAGGACAGCCGTGTTGGTTGGACTCTGAATTTTTAATTGTTATTCTATTTTTTATTTTCCAGAACTCATTTTTTACCTTCAGGGGTGGGAGCTAAGTCAGTTGCAGCTGTAATCAATTGTGTGCAGTTGGAAAAGGAGAGCCAGGACTTGTGGGGTGGGTGGGACCAGAAATTCTTGAGCAGATTTTCAGGAGAGGGAGAAGGGTCTTCTCAGAAGCTGGAAGGCTGTGGCTTAAGAGAGAAAGAAGACTAATGTGTCCAATCATTTAAAAAAATCACCCATGAAAAAGTGTCTTGAGTTGTGGACCCATTAGCAAGAGACATTGTCACATCGGAACTCATGAAACTGATGTAAGGCAATTAATTTGCTTTTGTTTTTAGGTCTGGGAGGGCAAAAAAGAGGTGGGTGGGATGAAACACGTTTTGGGGGGGATGCACTAAAAGCTGAGAACTATTTACCTATCACTCTAGTTTTGAAACAAAGATGGACTTCAGTGGGGAGGGGCCAAAACCATTGTTGTGTTACAATTTATTTTATTAAATTTTGTGCCAGTATTTTTTTTTCTTAAAAATCGTCTTAAGCTCTAAGGTGGTCTCAGTATTGCAATATCATGTAAGTTTGTTTTTATTTGCCGGCTGAGGATTCTGTCACAGTGAAAGAAAACTGTTTATATAGACCCCATTGGAAAAGCAAAACGCTCTCACTGAGATCAGGGATCCCAAATTCATGGGACTTATATAAGAAGGACAATTAATGCTGATTTGGGTACAGGGGAATTATGTGTGTGAATGTCATCTACAATTAAGAAAATATTAGTACATCCCTTTACTTACTTGTTATTAGTGGATTCTCGGGGTTTGGACTTAATGTTGAGCTAAGAAGCATTAGGTCTTTGAACTGAATGTATTTTGCATCCCTGGTTTTGGACCACAGTAAACGTAGGAGCACTGTTGAAGTCATGGAAAGGAGATCGAAGGAGGAAGATTGACTTGGTTCTTTCTTAGTCCTATATCTGTAGCATAGATGACTTGGAATAAAAGCTGTATGCATGGGCATTACCCCTCAGGTCTTAAGAAATAAGTCCTGAACGCATGTCGTTCCAAACTAACACTCTGTAATTTTTCTTTTATGTCTTATTTTCCAAGAATCATCCATTTTTTGCACCCCTCACCCCCAACTCTGTTATTCAGTAGAGAGAAATGTATGGCTTTCTGATTGGTGAGTGAAAGAGTAACTTGAGACATGACCTAAGTTGAAGAGTTTAGACTTGCTGAGGTTTAGAAGTGATGGAAATGAAGAGAGCATTTCAATAAAATGTGACTTGGCTGTCTTTGGAAGAGAAGTGCAAGGCTTTCCTTTGAAGAATTTAAATTAGTCCGGTAGGATGTCAGGTGAGACTGTGTATGCAAAATGAATGGCACAGGTGATGCTAGGGCCTCATACTTGGGTCTGATGTCTTGGCACAGGGTAAGTAAAGGTTAATTCCAGAAGAGAGGAATGACTTGAAGGCAAAGGAAACAAAGGAAGGCGGTTCGGTGAGGAGAATAAGGTTGTCCATGAGATTTGAATAGATTTTTAGTTTCCCCAATGTTTAAATACAAACATAGTCAAGCAAGGTAGTCATCTTTCTGCTGGTTGTGAGGGGGAATCTGAAAATGGAGTTTTGGGGGAAAAGTCAACATCGAACTCGTGAGGAAAAGTGCCTAATACAATTAGAACCTCCCTCACTCTATAGTTGCCCCATTGAAAGGACGAGGAGGAGGGGTGGCGTTTTTGGACTTCCGTGAGAGAAGGAAAGACATATTTCAGGTAAGCTTCTCAGGGCTGGCCCTTTTTGGGATTTGGATGAGAAATTGGAAGTACTAACTACTTTCTAGTGTATCTTTAAGAAAATTGATTGTTGTTTACTCCCAGATCCTCTTGCAGACGCAGAATTATCAGGAACATAGCTCTGTGATTCATGGGTGTACCCATACTGATGAACTGGAGCATCCATGTGGAAAGCGAAGGCAGAATTATCCCAGCTGTGTTATTTTGATCTTTTGGATGCAGGTGCCTTAATGAAGCTCTCAGAATATTTTAGGAGCTGCTCAGGGAGTGTTGGGTGGAACTGTTTGGACTACATTGTTTTCTCTTAGATTATGTGATTTTTGTTGGGCACTGGCAAAAGGTGTGTGTGAATGTGTGCATGTGTGTGAATGGTGTGTGTGTGTGTGTGTGTGTGTGTGTGTGTGTGTTTGCAGACATGCAAAACTGCAGCTGAAATAATACCTGAGATTTCTAGGTAAGTCTTTCCACATTTCAATAATGGGTAAGAGTAGAACCAAGGCCGGGTATCAATTATTGCTTGCTGTTTGCAACCAGGCATAAAATCACTTTCTCAAAGCATCCACCGTTCCTGTTAAATTTATGTTGGAAGCTCTCCTTCTGTGAGTGTAACTCCTGCAGTTCCTCTAGCAGATAAGATATAAGAAAGTGCCTCCTAGTGCTCCTCCGCCCGCTTGTTTGCTAAAATTCCCTTTCTCTCTAGGTCCACCATTTTCAGGATTTGTAGATAGTGTATTAATTAAGACAGCTTTGTCGATCTGGCCAGATGTTTTTTCTCCTTTGTCCAAAGGCCAGAGACCATCCCAGGAAGAGTGGTGGGTGGTTTATACACTGGAAATGTTGCGTTTATGCTTTTTAAAAACACATGTTAACTTCAGAGGAAGGATGGGCAAATCTGGTCTAGCTGGGTGAAACCCTTATTTTCCCAGAGATGCCTTAACCTTTGTCGGTTTTGGCTTTAGGGTTCAGAGTCACTTTTGTTCCCTTCTTCATTCTGGGGAGGGACTTCCCTACATAGAGCCCTGATTTTGTGGCTGTGGGGATCGGAGGTAGCATTCAAAGATCAGATGTGCTTTTCCTCACTTTGGAGATGAACACTCTGGGTTTTAGAGCATTAACCTGCCTAACCTTCATGGTGAGAAATACACCTTCTCTCTTCTAGTCATGCTGTGCATGCCGCTTACTCTGTTGGGGTCTATATAAATTTGTTGAACTCTTACCTACATTCCAAAGAAGTTTCAAGGAACCATAAATATATGTATACATATACATATATAAAATATATATATTAAAATAAAATTATCAGGAATACTGCCTCAGTTATTGAACTTTTTTTTAAGAATACATTTTTTTTTTAAGCTGAGAAGTATAGGGATGAAAAAGATGTTATATTGTGTTTGACTATTTTCCAACTTGTATTTTCATATAATTTATATTTTTTAAAAGCTGAAAATTTAGAAGCAAAATGAAAAAAAGGAAAAGCAGGTGCTTTTTAAAAATCAGAACTGAGGTAGCTTAGAGATGTAGCGATGTAAGTGTCGATGTTTTTTTTTTTTTTAAAAATGCAAAAAAATTCTTATGGCGGAGTTTTTTGTTTGTTTATTTTAGTAGCTGATGCTGGCACATCATTTTGCTGGAGAGTTTTTTATATACTGTAGCCTGATTTCATATTGTATTTTAAACTGTGTGAAATTAAAAACAAAGAATTTCATTCATAATGCTGTGGCTTTGGCTTGATTCTTTCTTGTCTGGATCATGTATTAAAGCAGAACAAATCAACCAACCAGAGGCGAGCACAGAGGGATGCAGTTTAGTCTTTCAGATCTCACTAGCTCAGGACCATTGGTGATAAAGATTTCCTAATAAGGTGAGAACTATAATAGGAATATAGGGAAGTCATCAAACATCCCAAACATTGAATATATTTTGTCATCCTTTGTAGAATGTCCCTGGCCTTGTCAGACCTAATTTCTTCATGTCTGAAGGACTAAGAGCCATGTGAAGAAAATTTTTAATGACTCAACAGATAAACATTTGATTTCAGCTAGGTACCGTTCCTGATATGAATACAGAAAATTGAACATCTTTAGTGGATCCTGTGGGAAAGGAGCAGTATTCTTGTGTCCACCATTGATAGTAATTTTGCTCTGTGGCAACTTGGGCCCTTCACATCCATCTCCTTGGCCCCAACTCTTTCACTGGGGCTGAAGATTGGGAATAATAATATCTGTCAGAACCCCTAGCAACCCATGCCATAAATAAAATCATATTTATAAGTGCTTTGGAGGGGACTGCTTAGGAACACATCGTGCATGGTGCTTTTTCCTTGTTGCTGAAACTGTAGAAGGTGGATGTTTTTAATTAACACCAACATTTGCAACATGAATCCCAGCTCACAGCTGGAAAGTGAATTTTTGCTGAATTGTTCACAAAGAGAGCTCTGTTTTTGGAAAATCTGTTTCTTCAGGCCTGGAGCTTGAGGTTTGCTGAGTACACGTTAAGCACGGACTGTGTGGTCTGGTGGTCAGGGAGCAGGACTGGCCGCGAAGAAGCCTCCAGCCCCTGAATCCTGGTCAAGCCACTAACATTTATTGGAGACTTTGGGAAAAATGGCTTCAGGTCCTTACATTTTGTTTTTAGTTTTCAACTGCAAACCTGGGCAAAGCCACAATTCCTGAGCCAACCTGAGGCCACATTTGAACTCTTCTGAATAAACAGCACACAGAGAATAGGTTTCTGCTTCAGTCAAGGATTCAACCAGAGAGCTTTCCTTCAGTGCCAAGTTGCTGTTATCCCTCCAAGTACCTGACTTAATGCTCACCAGGGTCAAAGATGCAAGATGTACTTGAATGAAATCAGCTTAGGCCTACCCTTCTCCCACTAGGAGCTAGAGTTCAGATGAGGAACCCTCAGGCAACCGGGCTTTGGTGATTTCTCTTAACAATACTGCTGAGACCATGGTTGAAGCTGCAGTGGTGGAGGTCTGGAGGGGAGACTATCTTTCAAAGCAACTGCACAATTTGGGAAGATCGGGCAGGGTGAGGATAGAAGGAGACACAAGGGAAAGTGGAGGTGATGATCACACTCTGTAGATTTGAACAGCTTTCAGGAGGTGATAGGATAAGAAAATGAACCAAGTCTACTCTGACTCGACTGCTATAACTTTGGAGCAAGCTACAGCACCCAAGACAAAAAGAAAAAAGAGTGGATCGGCAGAGGTGTATGAATGAAATGTAACTATTTTAACCTAAAAAGGGAAACGATTGTGATTTGTGCTTTGGGTACAATAAGGCAAACAATGTGAACCAGACGTCACACACGGGCTGCTTCCATACCATAGAGATGTGCACTTCAGCCTTCACAGTGTAGGAAACCCAAGAGAAGAATGTACTGTAGTAGGGTAATAGGATGTCTTTGGATTCTAGCATATTCCTTCATAGCAACCACCATGGGCACTGAACTGAAGCTGCTTCCTTTAGGTGCATGTCAGTCTCCTATTTTATCTCTCATAGGCCAGGCCCACACATTGACATTCCTGCCTTGTCCCTGTAGAATTTAATTTTGTGACCCCTGTGTAGATATCTATCCACATTCCAGGTTTATTTGGCATGAAGCTCATTTTATTCTAGAGCCTACAGTGGAAGAGAGTACAAGAGGTCATCAGGTTCATCAGAGAACCATCTGACTTCTAAGCCCCGTTCTTTCCATGACGCCGTATTGCTGGCCTAGAACTCTGAAAAGTCCCTTTTGATGATGCTGGCTGATGGCTCACCAGCTCTGGGAGCCACAGGCCTGGTTACTAAGGGGTACATTTCATACATCAAATACGGGACAAGGACAAAGGCTTCTTTCAGTAAGTAAGCCTTTAAACTTCCATACTGCTTTTTGACCTCTGCTTTTCCCCAGGGGCTGCTCTGGAAGGTGGTTTGCGACGCAGTTCTAGTTGTACAGAATCCCCTCTCTGGCTTGTATACAGGGATCCTTGACCCTCCTCGTGGCTGGATTAAGGACTTGGCCCTTGCATTTATGGGCATATTGACTCGGCATGCAGCTGGCATCTCCTTACTCTGTGAGATCCCTCCATGCCAAGAGAATCCTCACCTAACTAACAGAAGAGAAAAGCATTCCTCCTGGCACTTTTTGCAGTGAGGCAGAGATTTAAGGAGTCTGATAAAGGCAGTTGTTGATCAATTGGTGAAAATGCCACAAGGTTTGAAGTTGAGGAAAAAAAACTTTGATGAGAATTTAGAACCCCAAATGAGGGGTAAAGTGGCTCTGGCCTCTTTGTCCCTTGGTCAGTGCCATTTCCTGGTTTATTCAATGTTCCAATCCCTCTCCCTGTTTCTACTTTCCTGGCAAATGCTTCTGCCCTGGGAAAGCCAGTTGCATCAGATTGCCTGGTGTATCTCAGCGTCCTGACATCCAAAGTAATGATAGCGATGATCATCTGCCCACAGCAACCTAGGAAATCAACAAGGGCCAGCCAGGCTCGTGACAGGCTGCACAATCCCCAAAGCCCGTTTGAGTTTACAGTCCTATCTCTAATCTCTCTTCCCTGCCACTCAGGCTCTCGTGCTCTCTGGACCACAGCATTTCTACAGAGCTTTGATATCAGGTCAGCCCTGGTCATTCCATGTGATACAACTTAACAGCACAAGGATGTTTTCAGCAGGCTCTTGTGGGAATTAGTGAGGGTCAAGAGAGAGTCACGACCTTCTCTCTCCACTCCACATGGTCAGCCTGAGCCGCTGGCCCTGGGCAGTAACAGGCTCTTTTTAACCTTTTTATAGGCAAACCTACAATTTCAGCTGTGACTCTTCTTATATCTTGTCAAAGGCCGTCCCCCAGATGTACCTAGAAATAGCACATGTCCAGGTATACTCAAAGAAGTGGCAACTGTCTTCACAAGCCTGAAAAGCTAATGATGAATGCTGGGTTTGGTCTGGGATTGCCTCTGTGGAACAAGGATATTCCTAACTTTAGAAGAAGAGATGGGACCGGGAGCTTCCAGATGGTTTTGGAACTGTGTTGTGTTCATCAGAAAGAGTTATTATTCTTAGAGATCTCAGGGGAAGGCAAGTTCAAAACTTCAAGTGTGACTGAATTGGGGGAATCCCTCTGCCAATCTGCTTCTCAGGTAGACCAACTTTGTTCCATTTGTTCTGCCTTCCATGGGAATAAGGAAGTTTGCAAATACAGTGCAGCCAGTGCAACTGTAATGTGAGATGCTTATCCATATTTGAGACAAGGTAAGAATGACGGTGAAGACAATGACCAGTATGACCAGTGTTTAGGGGTAACAGATATTTCATTCAAATATCTGTTTTCTCTATGGCCAAGTTTTCATCATGATAGCACAGAGCTGTGCACATGAGCCCAAGGGGATATGTTTTCTTCACTGGCTCATCATGGAACACCGGCAGGCTGGGGTGGGTGTATGAACTCAGCAGGGTATGGATGGAAGGCTGTACTAACTCTGAGCACAGATTTCCCATTTGGAGCAGGAAGGGCCCGGGTGTGCCATGCGCATGATGGTGGCATGTGTTAACTGCTCTAGGAACCCGTGCACGTGGCCTCTGAAATCTCAGATCAGAGCCCTGATCACAAATTCCAAAGAGCCTTCTTTCTGCAACTACAAGTGACAGTCCAAAACCTGAAGCCCAGTCCAGAAAGAAAATTAAAATAAGAGTGACCACACATTCTGGTGTACCTGGAATCGTCTCAGAGTCCCTCCCTTGTCCTGGCATAATTACTCAGCAGTTCCTATTGGTCCCATGATACTTTACATGGTCTCCTAATTAAACCCAATAATGGCCTAGAGGATGATGAGATGAGGAGCAAATGCCAGAATTCTAAAATTCCACATTTTAGAGTCAAAAGAGACTTTAAAGATCATCTGGTGCAACCTCTTCAATTAGGCATTCATGAATTCAAGGTTTAGAAAGGCGAGAGGACTTTCCCAGTGTCACCTCATTAATGATGGCACTGGTACTGGAATGCAGACCTCACTCTTCCCTTAGCACTGTCTCTAGTCCCATGCTGTGCTAAATTTAATCCAATTTCTAGGCAATGCATCCTGGTTTAAAGCTGATTCTAGCTGATTCAGTATCGATCACGATAATTATTTCTATTAGTTCTGATGGACATAAGAATCTGCTGAATAATGGTGCTTAGGCTGGGAACGGGGGACTAAGAAAGTTGGATCATTGGGTGGTGGGAGGCCTTATCTTTCTCAGTTTGCAGAAACTGAAAATGCAGAGTCACTGACATCTCAGTTTACGGAACTATAGGATGTTATATCTAGAAGGTGCCCTACATAGTGAAGCCACCAAGCAAATTTATTCAGATAACAAACATCCATTGAGCATATGCTGTGTGGTTGGCATTGGGTTCAGTAGCAGGGAAACCATAAGGAAGAAGGTAAACACTTTTTCCTTCACTCTGATTCTAGTAAATTACAATTTATAGACAAATAAAAGGATAATACCATCCAGTGAAGTAACATTATGATTTGACACATAGGAGGAACCTAACCTGAAGGAATGTGTGGCCTGCAGGTGAGTAGCAGGTAGTTAAGTGGAGAGGGAAAGAGGTTCCAGTGGTGGGGAATGCATGTCCAAGGGCTGAGAGGTGAGAAAGTGTGTACACTGATGGAGAAACTGGAAGTAGTTTTATGGATCCAGAGCACAGTGTGCAAAGGAGTGTGGGTGGGAGGAGAGGACAGGGGACAAGAGCTCTTGGGTTAGAGGAATGTGACAGACCTCCCTGCATGACAGCCATAGGCCCTCTCTTCTTATCAGGATCTGTCTCTCCCAGGAGCCCTGGCCATCTGCCTCCACTGCGACTGTAATTAGAAAGAAAGAAGGTGTTCATTTCTCTATTTTTCTGCTCCAGCTACTGATCCTCAGTATCCCCCAGAGCTGTGTGAGCCCCCTTTGCCAAGCAACCTCTTCACATTATTTCTGGAATCCTGTTTCGGACACGGGACAGAGCAGGTGTCTGTCTGACTCGTACTGTCACACCTTCCAGCCCCAGTTCAGCATTTCCTGCCACTTCTGTACCTCGGTCTCACACTCCTTCTCCTGGGCTGATGGCCTCCTGCTTTTTAAAGAAATCTTTTGTGTTATTCTAGTCCTTGGTGATTCTTCTCTCTCTCATTCATTCCCTTCACTCTCCATCTTGAGTTTCCTCTCTTTGTCTCTCACATCTGGTATTCCTAGAGAGGAAATTTGATAAGCTGAAGAGAAAAGGCAGTCACCTTTAAGACTGTAAACTAGGTTTTAAATCTAAAACCAGGTTTTAAATCCTGGCCCTGCCATTGTTGAGCACTGTGATCTTGGGTAAGTTACTTGACTTCTCTGTGCCTGACTTTTTTCGTCTGTGAAATGGGGATAACAGTACCAGCCTCGCAGGACTGACACGGTGATTGCCAATTCATCTGTGTTGGGGCTTGACATTTCGTAAGTGCTATGTAAATGGACACTATTAGTAAATCTGAAACTACAGTTCAAGAAAGTCTTTTTCCCCCTTTTTTGAGAACTATTTTTTCACTGGACTCCTGGAACAAGAAAAAGACCTCAGCCTTCAGGGCGAGGACTCTGGAGGGCCTGTCTGAAGAGAGAGGAGTGTCTGTTCCCTGCCCTCAGCCCTGGACGGGCTCTGGTGCCAAGGCCTCCCTGCCTGCTGTGGCCCTGCTTGCTATTGCAGCTGCAGGTGGGCAGAGCGGCTGGCTCCGGGCGTGGAAAGGCGAACGCTGTTCCGGCCAGCTCCAGGACTCAGCATTTTCCACTACTCCTCGCTCTGTTTGTTTTGCTCTTTGGGCTGCCCCCGCTGAGCGGGGACTTCTGAATGATGTCCAACAGCAACGCCGGGTCTGCCCGAGGTCCTCGCCCACTCTGGAGCTCCCAGCGCCTCGCGTCTCCTCCCGTTGGCAGGCGGAGGACAGGGGGCCCGGCCGGCCCATGCAGCGAGCTCTCTCACAAAGTACCATTGTATGGGGCCGGTCTGTGGGAGACAAATGAAAGGGATTTCAAAATCAACAGCAAGTTATTTTTATCCGTGAAAGGGCTGAAATGCCTTTCTTTTCCATCTTGGAAAACAAATCTTAAGGGACCATTGTGCCGCAGAGTGTTTTCATTTACTCTGGTATTTGAGCATTTAGGAGAGAGGCTTCTGGAAGACCTGGACTCAGAAGGAAAGAAATCCAGAAAACTGGGCTGCTGCAGCCGACGCACCCCCTCCCCTAGGCAGGAGTCCCCCGGGGATGGCCCAGAACGCAGCCCTGGTGTGGCCTCATGCTTTCGTGCCTTTCTCTTGCCCTCCAGAGTGGGCACCTCCTTCCATCCACCCCACCCACCAGCTCCCCCATTCACTGACCCACTTTTCTCATCCAAAATCTTAGCCTTCTGCATCTGAGTGGGGTCCAATTCAGGAATATGTGACTCCTTCCTGCAAGGCAGGGGTCTCCCAGGCGGGGAGTGCCCGCTCCAGGAACTGCACAGAATAGAACATGAGATGAGAGAAGAAACCATTAGAGCTTCCATTCATAGGTACTTTCCATCTAAAAATGGGAACTACGTTTCTATGTACTAATACTGAATGTATATATAGATCCCGGTACCCTCAGACTCCCACCAATCATTTGCATCCATGCGAAGCTCTGTGAGGAAAGTGAAGTTCTGCAAGGTGGGTGGGGGAGGTCCTACTGGAGCCCTGATTTCTCTTTTCGCATATAATTATGTGTGTGTGTATATATATATGTTTGTTACATAGGTAAACAGGTGCCGTGGTGGTTTGCTGCACCCATCAGCCCATCATCTACATTAGATATTTCTCCTAATGCTCTCCCTCCCCTGACCCCCCACCACCCGACAGGCCCTGGTGTGTAATGTTCCCCTCCCTGTGTCCATGTGTTCTCATTGTTCAACTCCCGCTTCTGAGTGAGAATATGTGGTGTTTGGTTTTCTGTTCTTGTGATAGTTTGCTGAGAATGATGGTGTCCAACTTCATCCATGTCCCTGCAAAGGACATGAACTCATCCCTTTTCATGGGTGCATAGTATTCCATGGTCTTGCATAAACACAGCGAGTCAATTTACAAACCTTATTATCTCATTTTAACCAAATCACATTTACAAAATGGAAAAATGTCTTAAAATAGCTTCTGTAAGGAAACTGGAGATTGTTGACAATAGGAGCAATTCAGGCCCAAGAAGGTAAGAAAAATGCCATATCATTTCTTCTACTCCTGGAACAAATTATTTGCCAGCCATGTATTAAAGCTAAAAAAAAGTAATTTAATTAGGTTTCACAAGATCTGGCCAAAAAATTTTCCAAATCTTGAAGACTACATTAAACATGGATATATATTTATTGTCATTAATGACAATTAGTGCTCTGGGGTATTATATTACCAGGCAATGCTAACAGATATTAGCTAGGGCATGGAGTTTATAAATAAATAAATATGCCTGTATTGAAGGTGGTTCTTAAAAATATTTACGATGGGAGTATAGGGTCAGAAAAGTTTTGAAATGACTGCTGTAAAGGAATATCTGCTGAGGGCCAGCAAGATTTTTGCTGGTGGTGGTGGGAAAACCCCAACGTTTGCAACCGGTAAAAATCAGAGTTTAAATTCTGACTCTACCATTCAAGTCGAATTTACACACTCAGTTTACTGTGTGACTTTGGAAATATATGTAACTTCTCTGAGCCTCAGTTTCCTCAAAATCACAATAGTGACACTTACCCCACTGATCTATTGTGAGGATCAGTGAAATACTTTCTATTGAGGGTCTAGGGTAGAACTTGACATGTAGTAAGCAATGCTCAAGAAGTGTTTGACTTATCCAGTCTAACCTTGCTTCTGCCGGGAAGCTAGGGAAGAGCCGCGGGCTCAAGATGAAGCCCATTCTCGGCAAAAGTCTGCTGGTGGGCCTGGGGAGCTTCCGTCATGGCTGAGAAGGTCAGCTTGTATTTTCTAACACATCACTAACAGCCTGTTCTTGGCTCTAAGAGGAGAGGACTATGTGTATGTGTTTAAAACCACTTTGGGTAGGCCTTCCTGGTGGCTTCCTAACCAGTATGAAACAAACGGTTATATGCTGGTTTCAGTCCAGTTCCCAGCAATCTTTTTTCAAAAAACGTTTGTGTCAGAAGGTATCACACAACAGGGCCACAGTTGGCAGGAATTAGCCCCCCATTATGCAACTGAGCCAAAGGTCTCAGAAGTAAATGAGCCATGGAAACTTAGAACCCCCCACTGAGCCTGGAGCCTGGTCTCTGCCAGAACATTTGGACAGCCAAGCTATGCTATAAAAGAGGAAAAAGTCAGTGTGTATGTATTGGAGGGATGGTGTTCAGTTCTTCTAGTTCCTTTCCCAGGCTCCCATTTTGCACACAAGGATACAAGAAGGATGCTGAAGACATCCAAGCGTGAGAACCTCCATCTTCCCCACTGCCAGCTCTGATCCATGTTGCTGCTCAGACTGGGATTCATATTCTCTGGAAAAAGCCTCATGCAGGCTCTGAGAGAGCACCAACCAGCTTGTACATATGGAGGTCCTTACCTCTCAGACTCCCCATTCTCAGCAGTGCTTCAGGCTCCAGCCTTAATCCTAGATCCACTACCCCCCTGCAGTTGGTCCTGGGAGAGATTTTTGGGAGTCAGAGGCTCCATTCCAAGCTGAAAGAACTTGATCAATGAGTGTTTCCTTCACAGTTGTCAACTGGGAGATGAAGGAAAACAAATGAAGCTGTTAAAGCCCAGAGCTCAGAGTACGTTTTCGAAATGGAAAGAGACTCTCTTTACAAAGAAATAGCAAAAGAGGAGTGATCTGGTCTGACTGCAGGGTCTTACCTGAACACAGTTCACAGGGAAACTGCTGTGGCCCGTTGCTCTCTGGGCAGCCTCATGGGTGTGCTCTCCCGCAGCCCATTCCAAACAGGTGACCAACCTGTGAGTCAGGCTTGCCTGGGCTGGAGGCAGCTGATACAGGGAATTCACCGTTTCCATTCCTGTAACCTGACAGCGTTGAACTTTGGTCTCTGAGGTTTTACTCCAAGAGGGGACAAAACAACCCTTGTTTTTATAACTTGTCTACAGGTTATAAGGAAGGAACACTTTTCTTCCCTCTCTCACCATGCTTGATCTAGTTTTGTTTTGTTTTGTTTTTTTGGATTTTCTCTGAGCCACCCACCTCTTTCCTTGTCTCAGGTCAGACTTTCTTGGGTTTCAGATTAACTGTGCTTGATTTGTGACTCTGACATTTGGATAATTCACTTTTCCATTTTAACAGTTAACTCCCAGAATCCAATGTGCCAATTCCTATGCTCATAGACAGTAATATATTTCTGGGATTCTTCCATCCTGCCAAGCATTCTTTACTCTCTGAATATCAGAAATCCATCTTGAGGGCTTAATTCTCTTAGAATCAAAATACCGACTTCAGAAGCAGGCAGACCTAAGATCAAATTGAGGGTCCTTGGACACGTAACTACAAGTCTGAATCACGATTTTCTCTTTTGCAAATGGGGTAATACCTACTTGATAGAGTTGTTATATTGTTTAAATAGAATCATGTAATAAAGTGACTTTCAAAGGACCTGATACATGGCAAATGCCCAAAAAACATTCTACAAGGTAGAGAGTCCCCTTTAAATGGTTTCATTAAATATTAGTTTTATGTATTTTTAGAAGATTATATATATTGAAAATTTACATAACATGAAAATATTCAGAAGCCAATTAGAAAACTACCTGATATTCTTCACTATTGAAATTTTAGTATAAATCTTTTCAGCACTGAATTATGTACACATATATTTGATACCAAACTTGATTTTTATTGAGGTAAAATGAATATAATAGTGATATGCACAGATTTTGAGCAGTTTGATGAATTTTAATAGGTATATTTGTATAAGCAATATACCAGAAAATTCCCATATCCACACCCTACCGTCAATCACTATTCTGATTTCTTTTGGCATAAGTTAGTTTTGCCTGTTCTTGAACTTTATAATTTATGGGCATTAGGTATAGTACTGAAAGGTTTTGCCTCAATAGTAAAGCAAAATTAGCCCTAGGCTAAATACTGTTCTGTTCCTGCCGAATAAAGCTTAAAAGCAAGACTCGAAAGGGTCAAACTATTTCCAAGTAACTTAACTCAAGGGTATTTTTAGGAATACAAAAATATCCAGCCAGTCCACTATGTCTGGCATCCAATAAAGAGTTACCAGGCATACAAAGAAGCAGGAAAATATGACCCATAATGAAGGAAAAAATCAGCCAGTTGAAAATTTCCAAGAAATGACACAGACGATAGACTTAGTCCACAAGGAATTAAAAGAAAGTAACAATTTCACACGTTGAAGAAGCTAGAGAAAAGACCGAACATGCCAAATGTGATACAAAAGACCCAAGTCAAAATTCTGCAGTTGAGAGCTATATAACATATGACATGAAAGATACATTGGATGGGATTAATGGCAGATTCAACACTGTGAAGTCCTCGCAATGAAATGACCCTTAATAAAGCACACATAAAATAAAGAGTGAAAAGAAAAATGAGCAGAGTGTCAGTGAGTTGTGGGACAACTCTAAGTCTCTGAATAAACATGCAGTTGGAGTCCCCAGAGAGGCAGAGTGTGTGATAGAAAAAAAAAGGAAACTTTATTAATGGCTGAAACTATTCAGAATTTGATGGAAACTATAAACTCACCCATCTAAGAAGCCCCACAAACCCCAAGCACAAGAAACATGAAAACAAAATATGCTAAGTACATCAAGTTTCTTAAAGCCAGTGATAAAAAATAACTCTTAAATGTCTTAAAAGATAAGATATTTTACATACAGAAGATCAAAAGAAAAAATAAAAGATTCCTTGTCAAAAACAATTCAAGGAGGAGGATAGTGCCCAACATCTTTAAAGCAGTGAAAGTGAAAAAAAAACAGGCAACCTAGAGTTCTATACCTAGTGAAAATAATCTTTTGAAACAAAGACTTTTTCTGACACAAAATATTAAAAGCTTTTATCACCAGCAGAACTACACAAAAAGGTTATAAAAGACATATTGTTTTCTTTTTTTTTCCAGCATGGTCCCATTTTTTTTTTTTTTTTTTTTCCTTGGAGAACCACTTCCTTCTTCTTTTTTTTAACTTTTTCTTGTTTTTATTTTTATTATACTTTAAGGTCTTAGGGTACATGTGCACAACGTGCAGGTTTGTTCACTAGTTAACATGGTGCCATGTTGGCGTGCTGCATACTTAACTCTTCATTTAATTAGGTATTTCTTCCTTTGCTATCCTTCCCTGCTCCCCCCCACTGGCAGGCCCCCATGTGTGATTTTTCCATCCTGTGTCAAGTGTTCTCCATTGTTCAGTTGCCACCTATGAGTGAGAACATTGGGTATTTGGTTTTCTGTCCTTGAACTCATCCTTTTTTATGGTTGCATAGTATTCCCATGGTGAATATATGCCACATTTTCTTATCCAGGTCCTATCAATGATGACATTTGGGTTTGTTCCAAGTCTTTGGCTACTGGTGGAATAGTATCACAAATAAACATACTTGTGCATGTGTCCTTTATAGCGCCATGATTTTTAATCCTTTGGATATATACCCAGTAATGGCATCGCTGGGTCAAATGTATTCTAGTTCTAGATCCTTGAGGAATTGCCCACATTGTCTTCCACAATGGTGAAACTAGTTTACACACCCACAACAGTGTAAAAGTTGTTCCTATTTTTACATCCTCTCAGCATCTGTCGTTTCCTGACTTTTAATGATCACCATTCTAACTGGTGTGAGATGCTATCTCATTTGTGTTTTGATTTGCATTTCTCTGATGACCAGTCATGATGAGCATTTTTTCATGTGTCTGTTGGCTGCATAAATGGTCTCTTTGAGAAGTGGTTCTGTTCATATCCTTTGCCCACTTTTTGAATGGGGTGGCTGGTTTTTTTCTTGTAAATTCTGGATATTTAGCCCCTTTGGTCCAGATGGGTAGATTGCAAAAATTTTCTCCCATTCTGTAGGTTGCCCGTTCATCTTGATGGGTAGTTTCTTTTGCTAGGGCAGGAAGTGCTTTAGTTTAATTAGGATCCCATTTGTCTACTTTGGGCTTTTGTTGCCTTTGCTTTGGGAGTTTTAGTCATGAAAGTCCTTTGCCCGTGCTATATCCCTGAATAGTAGATTGCCTAATGTGTTCTAGGGTTTTATGGTTTTAGGGGTCAAACATGTTAAGTCTTTAATCCATCTTGAATTAATGTTTATATAAGGTGTAAGGAAGGGATCCAGTTTCATCTTTCTACATATGGCTAGCCAGTTTTCACAGCACTATTTATTAAAAAGGGAATCCTTTCCCCATTTCTTATTTTTGTCAGATTTGTCAAAGGTCAGATGGTTATAGATACATGGTGTTATTCCTGAGGTCTCTGTTCTGTTCCATTGGTCTATCTCTCTGTTTTCATTGCAGTACCATGCTCTTTTGGTTACTGCAGCTTTGTAGTATAGTTTGAAGTCAGGTAGCATGATGCCTCCAGCTTTGCTCTTTTTGCTTAAGATTGACTTGGCAATGCAGGCTCTTTTTTGGTTCCATATGAACTTTAAAGTAGTTTTTTCAATTCTGTGAAGAAAGTCATTGGTAGCTTGATGGGGATGGCATTGATCTAATAAATTCTTGGGCAGTATAGGCCATTTCCATATTGATTCTTCTATCCATGAGCATGAATTGTTCTTCCATTTTGTTTGTGTCCTTTATATATTTCTTGAGCAGTGGTTTAGTTTGCCTTGAAGAGTCCATGTCAATCCCTTGTAAGTTAGGATTCCCAGGTTTTTATTCTCTTTGTAGGGCAATTGTGAATGGGGTTCCACTCAGATTTGGTCTCTGGTTTGTCTGTTAATTGTGTATAGTAATACTTGTGATTTGCCATTAATCTTTGTATTCTGAGCTTGCTGAAGTTGTGATCAGCTTATGGAGATTTTGGGCTGAGATGATGGGTCTTTCTAAATTACGATCATGTCATCTGCAGAACAGGCGACAATCTGATTCCTCTTTTCGCTAATTGAATACCCATTATTTCTTTCTCTTGCGCTGAATTGCCCTTGGCTAGAACTTCAATACTATGTTGACATAGAGCTGGTGAAGCAGAGGGCATCCCTGATAAAAGATATCTTTCGAAGCAGAAGAAAAACTGATACCAGATGAAAGTCTGATATGCTGATAGATTAAGGCTTGAAAAGAAATTATATAGACAATGATATATTTCTCTTTTAAACATTTCTTTGAAAACTGATTTTTTTTTTTTTATTTGTTTTTTTTTTTTTTTTTGAGATCGGAGTCTCGCTCTGTCGCCCAGGCTTGAGTGCAGTGGCGCGATCTCAGCTCACGCAGTCGCCTCCCAGGGTTCGCGGCCTTCTCTGCCTCAGCCTCCCGAGTAGCTGGGACTACATGCGCCACACCGGCGCCGGCTATGTTTTTTGTTATTTTTAGTAGAGAGACGGGGTCTATCACGTGGTCGTCGATCGTCCTGACTGTGTGATCGCCCGCCTCGGCCTCCCAAAGTGCTGGGATTACACGTGAGCCACCGGCGCCGCGGCCGCACAAGTTGAGGTTTTTTTTAAAGCAAACACAGAAACAATGTAATATAGGTCTTATTACATATGTAGAAATAAAATGTATGATAACAGTAATATAAAATTTTGGAGACAGAGAATGGAAGTACATTGTTGCAAGGTTTTCTAATACAAGTACAAAGTGGTATAATGTTACTTGAAAGATAACTGTGATAAGTTAAAGACATAATCAATGACCCTATATCAACCATTAAAATAATAAAACAAAGGAGTAAGAAATGTTTTTAAAAGTATAATTAACCCAAAAGAAAGCATGGAGGAAAAAGGGAACAAAGAATAATAGTTGGAATAAATAGAAAATACTAGCCAGCTGGTAAATTTAAAACCAATCATATACATATTCACATTAAATACAAAAAGTTTAAACCCTTCAGATTCAAGTCAGAGGTGTCATTTTGGATAAAAAGAAAGACTCAACTGTATGTTACCTACAAGGAATGCACTTTAAATACACAAACACATTAAAATAAAAAGATGAAAAATTATATACAATGTTAATAGTCATCAAAATAAACCTAATAAGGCTATATTCATATTAAAAAGTAGGTTTTACAGCAAATAAGATTACCAGGGATAAAGAGGACCATTTAATAATGATATAGTAGTCAGCTCATCAAGATGATATAACAATCCTAAATATTTACACACATAATAACTGAGCTTCCAAATACATGGAGCAAAAACTTAAGGAAAACAAACATATTCACAGTTATAGTCAGAGATTTCAGTAATTGATAGAACATATAGACAGAAAGTCCATAAATATTTAGAAGATTTGAATAACACTATTAACTAAATTGACCTAATTGACAATTATAGAACATTGCACCCAACAACAACAGAATATACTTTATATTCAAGTATTAATGAAACATTTCCCAAGAGAGACCAAATGTTGAATGAGAAAACAAATCCCAGTAAATTTAAAAGGAGTCAAGTCATAGAAAATCTGTCCTACAGTGACAACAATGGAATTAAATCAGAAATGAGTGTATCAGAAAGATACCTGGAATACTCCAAGTAGTCTCAAGATAATATTTATAAATAACTCATGGATCATGGTTGACAAAATCAAAAGAGAAACTGGAAAGTATTTTGAACTCAATGAAAATGAAAACAAAACACACAAAAGAATTTGAGATACAGCTCAGGCAGCACTTAGGGGAATATTTATAGAACAAACAGGCTTCATATTAAAAAAGAAAAACATCTCCAAATCAATGAACTCGGTTTCCACCTTAAGAAACTAGAAGAAGAAAAGCAAATAAAACCCAAAGAAAGGAAAAGACATGAAATGATCAGAGCCTAAATAAATGCACTGGAGAACAGAAAAACAATAGAAAAAAAAAATCAATGAAATTCGGAGATGGTTCTTTGCAAAACTCATAAAGATCAATAATCTAGTTAGACTTCTTAGGAAAAAAAAACAAAAGACAAACTACCAATATCAAAAATGAGAGAGGGGGCATATCTAATTTCTAAGGATATTAAAATATAACTAACCAAATGGTACAAACTGTATTATTCCATTTATATTAAATTCTAGAAAAAAGCAAATTACTCTGTCCTGAAAGAAAACAGATCAGTAGTTGCTGAGGATGGAGGTGCAGGAAGAATGGATTATAAAGAGACACAAAGAAACTTCTGGAGTTGATTAAATGTTTGTTATTTTGATTGTGGTGATGGTTTCATGAGTATATACATATTCAAAAGCTGATCAAATTGTACATTTTATACATGTATGGTTTAATGTACTTTAATTATACCTCAATAAAGTTTCTCTGTAATGTTAGCAGTGGCTGATTAGCTCAGTTGGTTGTTGTCCAGTGTTAATGAGGCCAAGACCACAAGCTCAAGTCATTCATAGCCCAGTTAGCTTTTCTATTCCCAGTAGCAAGAAAATGCACCTCTATTTTCCTAAATTTTAAGGTCATTGGGTTAGAGTGTGAATGGCTCAGGGAAACCCATAACCACTACAAGGGAAAAATAATTTCTCAAAGTAAATTGTTTACAGATGATGGATCTTACCAGATTCTTGGTTTACAATGGTGAGCACTGTTTCTCCTTTTCTCTAAAATGGTCTCTAACTAATCCCACTTAATTCTGAATTTCACTTTATCTCTTAACAATAAAGACCAAATTGACACATTAAGAGTAACTATTACTTACATAAGTACCTATAAATATTTTCATGTCATTTCTTGGCATCTAAATATCTGTTCTTCCTTTTCCTTCTTTTAAATAAAATTTAAAGAGTTTTGCTGAAGTATAATTGACACACAATAAGCTGTGCAAATTAAAACATGTAATTTGATAGGGTTTAACTTATTGTACACTGTGAAACTATTACCGCATTAAAGCTAATGAACACACGACCCAAAGTTCCCTCTAGCCTTGTGTAATCCCTTCCTCCCACACAGCCCCTCATCTCCATCTCCTGTCCTCAGACAACTGATCTG